ATGGAGAAGTTGGGTCAGGGAGTCTTGAAGGGCTTTACAACTCTAATATCAACATCACTGAACACAGAAGCCTACCACGGCAGCAGCTGGTTAATGAGAGTCCAAGGAATGGTCCCTGATTACCCCAGGCAGGGTTATCTGACCAGCGTCCCAGGATGGGGGGGCCTCCCCAGGGGTGCATATTTTCAGCACCAGGCCCCAGATGCTGGCCAGGAAAGAGGGAGCAAAGGTTACTGAAGGTCAAGAGCAGAGCAACAGATGAAACCAATGGCCTGTGTTTGCCAATCCAGGTTGGGGTGAGAGGGCAGAGAGCTCTGGGCAACCTGGCCAATCAGAATGGGCATGACTCTGGAGGTCTGGGTCCGAGCTGGGCTTCACCACTGCAGTGACAGGACTTTGGGTTGGTCATTTAAATACCTCTGGGTCCAGGTTCCCACTGCAAAATGGGGGAGAACAATACCTACCTCACAAGGCTGTTGTGAGCATTAAATGTCAGCACGTGCTTGAAATGGTTTGGTAGCATCTGAACTTAGCACATCATAGGTGCTCAGTAAACCTTCATTCTTTCCCTCCTCCTACCCTCTTCAGTTTCCATCAAATACGTTTGCTGATCCGACACCAGTGAGCCATACAAGGGTGTATGTCAGGCCCTCCGTTCCACCTGCCAAGGTGCGCGCTCAGTGGCCACAGTCCCAACACTGTGCTGTGCTTGGCATCTTGGGGTATCTGGTGTGGTGTTTTCCTCCCAGGCACTTAGCGTCTGCTGGAGAGACAAGTCCACACTCACACTCACGCAAACTACTAAGAAATGGATAAATGACATTTCTCCATTACCTGGGAAAGTCAATGTCAATGTCATTGTCCCACGAAAGGGATAAATGACATTTCTCCAAAAAATGACTCATGGATAATTCAGAGAATGGTGGTCCCATATGAACCATAAGCACTAGAGAGATGGGGGTTCGGGAAATGGGGTTCAGCCTGGATGGGAGTAACCAGGGCAGGGAGAGGCTACGCTGCCCGTGACCTGCTGAGTTGAGAGTAGCTGGGCTGCAGTGAGACTGGGATGCGTTAGACATGGGCCGACTGCTGAGGCCAGAGGGTCGCCAGGGCACGGTGAAGCTAGGGCTCGGGACGTGCTTCTGTGGGGAGAGCCCTGGAGTGAGGGGTTGCAGGAGTCCAGCTCTCTCGGCTAAGCCTCCTGAACTCAGGTATGTGGAGCCTGATCTTCTTCCAGGTAGCAGGCTGACAAATGGCCTTTCAACTTCTGCCAGGATTGGCTGGGATAGGATGGAGCTGGTAAGAACAACTGCACTATGAGGAGATTGGAGGGTGGGGCTGGGGCCAAGGTGGGGGCTACTCCCTGTACAGAAATTCAACTCCACCTCCATCTGTCATGGACCGCCCCTGGCAACACAAAGGCCAAGGAAATGGAATTAACATGTGCTCAGCACCTAGATGGTGCCAAGCTCACACCTGGCACTTCACCTTCAGAAGCTCATTTTCCCCATGCTGGCCCTATTCTCTTCCGATCCCAGATAAGGGAAACTGAGGCTCAAGGCTCAGAGGAGTCAGGGCCCAGAGTCTTGCAGAGAGTGGTAGGTTGGAGCCCTGTGCCCTTCCTCCTGTAACACACTGCGTCTCCGTGACTTAAAGGTTGTGCTCTAAGTTTTAGCATGGACTCCAGCTCTCCGCCATCTACCTCCTAGATTGAAACTCAGCCCGTCGCAGTGGAAAGGCTGCACTATGCCCTAGGGCATGTTCCTCATTTCATCAGCCACTGCCCTGCTAGATCATGCCTGGTTACACACGCAGCCTCCTGGAGGGCAGGGGCTGGGTCTCATTCCTGGGCCCAGCGCAGCCCTGGCACAATTGCCAGGGCAGAAGCGATTCTGGTAATTAGAGTGAGTGGTGAGTGGAACTACCCCACCCAGGCGGGTGTGTTTCTGGAATCCACGGGTGAGGTGTTTGCTGACAAGTCCGGGAGGGAGAGAGGGAGGGGCGAGGGACTGCCCACCTCCCTTGAGCAGGAATTCCTCCTAACGGGCAGAGTTCTCAGCCGATGAGAGAAATGTTGGACAGGACCCTGACAAGAGAAAACTCTAGCTGTAGCACGGAGTGAGTAATTAGATGCTAACTCATTTGCATTTCACAGGAGAGTCAGGGATGTTGGGGAAACAAAGCCGCAAAGATGAAAGACCTCTTGGAGAAGGGAACGTTGGGGACAAGAAGCTCAGACAGCCGGGGAGGGGCGGCGGCACAGGTGTGCTGCAGGCACTCAGTGGCACGGATGGCGGGATGGGGGCAGAAGGTCTGAAGGTCCCTGCCATGCCCTCGAGGGCTCCAAACAGCAGCCTGGGCTGCCTACCAGTGCCCTTGGGATGCTTTTTTCTTTGCATTTGGAATGACCAAGAGGGAGACAGCAAGACACTGAGACAGAGGCCCATAGATCCTCTCAATTTCTAGAGTAGGGGTTAACAAGGTTTACCTGCCAAGGGTCACCTGGTAAATATTTTAGGCCTTGTGGGTCGTACCCTGTCTGTCACATATTCTTCTTTGTAAAAGGTACAAAAATCGTTCCCAGTTCTAGGAACCAACCAAAACAGACCACTGCTGGCCTTGACGCCTGGGTCCGGAGCTTCCTTCTCAAGATGGAATGTAAGGCCCAATATCCATTCTGCATTTCTAACAAGTTCTCAGGTGAACACGGAACGCACTTTGATTATGGAGGGTCTGAGGTCACTCTGCAGCATGGGATCTGCGCTGCGAGACCTCATCTAGGAACTGCTGAAGGCCTTGATGGAAGGCGCCTGCCTTGTTTGCAGAACTCAGCGGTAGCCGTGGGTCCACACACTCGGAGTTCCCTCCCGAGAAGGCCCTGCTGCCCATCTGCAGGGAGCAGGGCAGGCAGGCAGCCCCAGCTGTCAGCTCCTTCAGGGTGTCTGCCTCAGCTGCAGACACCCACCTCCTTTGAGGTCACACCCTCCCCAGGGTAGCCTGCGTCTGATGACTGAGCACGATGGGAGTGGAAAGTCCTGGCTACTTCAGCTAGACACAGGATGACTCCTTGCCAGGCACTGGGGCTTGGTCGCACCTGCTTTGCAGTTTGCTTTCAATCTCCCTCAGCCTAATCCATCTCCCCTTTCCTTTCACTGGTGTAGATCTTTAATAAACCCCTGTGGTACCCCAAACTCCTTCCCAGAGTTCACTCCCAAAGAACCAGCCTGTGACACAGGCGATGGGAACACATCCTGGCTGGGGGCAATGGTGACCGCAGGTTGGGGGTTGGCACCAGCAAGATTCGCCTAGGGGCCACTACACATCACTGCAGAAACTAGAGGCATCTCAGGACTAAGACCTTCCAGGGGTCCCAGCATGGCCAGGAGGAAGCAGGGCAGAGGGAAGCAGGAGTGCAGTGGTACAGGGTCTTCTAACCTGGATGTGCTTCGTGGCTCTGTGCCACTGCTGTTCTCTGAGTCTGTGTTTACTCATAAGTAAAATGGGCCTCATGAGCCATTCTTCTGGCTGTTTTTCCTGTGGCTTCTGTTAATAAATCACCCCAACCTTGGTGGCCTAAAACAACAGGGGTTTATTATTTCACAGTTCTGGGGGACAGAAATCAAAAGTTGGCATCATTGGGCTAAAATCAATGAGTCGGCAGCGCCGTGCTTCCTTTGGAGGCTTTAGGGGAAACTTTATTCTTGCTTCTTCCAGATTCTGGGAGCTGCCAGCATTCTTTGGTTTGTGGCCTCATCACTCCGATCTTCAATACCAGCATCTTCAGCTCCCCTCTCTGTTCTCACTTCATGTCACTTTCTCTCTGTGTGTCAAATCTCCCTCTGTCTGTCTCTTGTAAGGACACCTGAGGTTGCATTTAGGACACATCCTGATCATCCAGGATAACCTCCCCGTCTCATATTCTCTAACTTAATCATATCAGCAGATATTTTTTTTTTCCTCCAAATAAGGTCACATTTACAGCTCCAAGATTAGGACCTGCTGTCTTTGGAAGCCAGTATTCAGCTGACTCCTCTTGCCATCTGCCTCCCTTGCAGGCTTTTCAGCTCTGCTTGAGTTCTCCTTCCTGAGCTGTAGTTCTAGATGCTGGCCCGTACCACTTGCTTATACAGCTCAGATGTTCTCATTCTGCCAAAAATTATTTTTAATGTATATTTATTAAATATATGGCTGCTCGGCTCACACTGTTGGTTTTATTGGCAACCTCCACAACTAATATTTACTGAGCATATACTGTATGCTCCGTGTTTTACTCGAATTATCATCCTTCTGCCCAAGGAGGTAAGTGCTGTTACAATCCCCATCATGCAGGTAAAGAGACCGGGGCAGAGAAGCGAAACGGCCCACTGTCTGCTCACGTGGTGCTGGGATTCCCGCTCTGGTTGTCTGAGTGAACGACCTTCTCATCCCCCACACATAACTGCCTCCCCGGCATGAATAGGGCTTCTCTTTGGGACTGCTTACAAAGTCCAGTTGTTTTTGGACTTCGGAGCAAGCTTCTTATCAGATTCTACACATTACAGGCATAACACAGGAAGGGCTGTTCTAGAATGCTGAAGGTCCAATTCTAAGAGCCAGGGAATGAGGTTCGTTTGGGGGCTGCGTTTGTGACCTCTGCTGTCAAGCTGAGCCCGGGCAGGGGAGGAGGGGATATCCCAGACTCTCCTCTAACCCTCTGATGGCACATCTCAGCAGCTCTTAATTACTCTTCCAACTTTGAACTGCTGGGGACTTGGAATGTCACCCTTGTTCCTGTTAAACGTTTAGGTTGAGCTTCTGGGTTCAGCTACTTATTCCTCAGCAAACGAGCAGCGCAGGTTGCTGGTCATAGACGATTGTATTTATGCTTTGTCCTGACTTTAATTTCAGACCCTAGAAGTACTTATATATGTAAAAAATTGTGCAGTCTATGGAAGAAAACTGCAGTGGACGGGCATTTACAAATGATTATCTTGTGTGTAAGGGCTTCCAAAACCATAAATGTGCTCACTTCAGCAGCATACGTACTAAAAAGTTGGAACAATACAGAGAAGATTAGCATGGCCCCTGTGCAAGGACGACAAAAGTTCATGAAGTGTTCCATATCGATTTTTTTTAAGCCCGTAAGTGGCAAAGTGGATTGGCCCCATTTAGTTGCCATCAAGAGGGAACTGAATTTTACAAGCAAGCATGCCAGCAGACCTCAAGTTAAAGGGTATGAAGCTGGTCTACACACATCTTATTTCTCTGGATAGAAAGAGCAGCAGGAGCAAACGGGCTTGAAGGGTTTGGGGGCATGTAGCATTTGCCAAGCTGGTGCCAAGAATGGATGTAGGCACGTGGTAGGAGGGGTCATGGTAGGAGGAGCGGTGACGCAGGCATGCCGTGGGCATTTGGTGGCACAGATGTGGAGATGGCGGGACAGGGACAGAAGATCTGAAGGTCCCTGCAATGCCCTCGATGACGCCAAGCAGCAGCCTGGGCTGCCTATCACTGCCCCTTGGATACTTTTTAATTTTCATTTGGAATGGCCAGACTGAGACAGAGATGCATGGATACTCTGTTTTCACCTGAGAGTATCCATCTCCTGGAGACTTTCCATCGGCCATGAGGGGGGACTTTGTGGACAACACCAAGAGCTTGAACTTAATTCTCAAGGCCACAGGGCACCTCTGCAAGATTTGAAAAGTGACATGTTTATGTGCTTTAGGAATATTTTTCTGGCTGTGATAATGGCCCCAGCAAGAGGTGAGGAGGGCCTGGATTCCTACTGATAAAGAGTAAGGACTGGCCGGGCGCAGTGGCTCACGCCTGTAATCCCAACACTTTGGGAGGCCAAGGCGGGTAGATAGCAAGGTCAGGGGTTTGAGACCAGCCTGACTAACATGGAGAAACCCCATCTCTACTAAAAATACAAAAATTAGCCAGGTGTGGTGACGTATGCCTATAATCACAGCTACTCAGGAGGCTGAGGCAAGAGAATTGCTTGAACCTGGGAGGCGGAGGTTGCAGTGAGCTGAGATCGTGCTATTGCACTCCAGCTGAGCAACAGAGCCGGATTCTTTCTCTCTCTTTCTCTCTCTCTCTCTCTCTCTCTCTATATATATATATATATATATATATGAGTAAGGACTGGGTTTGAGAGAGGCCAGTCCAGTCCAGCTAGGAGTTGGCTGTGGACCGGGAAACAGGGGGAGGAGAGAAAGATGCCCCTGTGCAGCTTGGGTGAGTGGGCGCACGTGAAGCTGTTCACAGAGGTGAGCACCAGGATGCAGAGAACCAGCGGGACCGCGCGTGTGGGAAGAAGGAGCAAAGGTAGTTTCACCAAGCGGGGAACTATGGGTTGGGAAGAGGCAATGGCTGAGAGGGATAGGAAGTGTGTGCTGTGCCCTCTGTCATGAGGCAGGATGCTGAAAACTGCAGCTGGACAGAGGCACGGATGGAGGAGGTGGCAGCAGCAGGCATCCATGGGACAACTCTGGGCCAGAAACCAAAAGCCTAGGCCTGTTCCATCCTGGTTCACCACGCACCTTCGGCAAGGCACTTTCTTCCTCTGCCTCAGTTTCCTCATCTGCAAAACCTGGGAGTTGAACCCCATTGAGGGTTCCTCCAAGGAGATGCGCTGGGGAGGGGATGTCTTTGAGCCCTGGAAACAGGGTGCAAAATTGTGTGCCCTTGTCCCCTTTTGCAGAGGGACCGGCAGGGTCACTTGAGGAGGGAAGTGACGTCAGATCTCAGAGGCCACACCTGCGGTTGGAGACACGCTGGTAAAAATTGCTCTCTACGTATGCCCAGGATGAGTCTCATCTCACCCAACCAGTTCCTGGAAGGCAGAGATCTGGGTCATAGGATGTGTCTCGACACCCCATGGGGGTCTTGCAATACCCGTGGAGCCACATATGCTGGCATGGAGGCGCCTCACTACATCTGGCTCTTCCAGGAGAGACTCCGCCCCTTGGTCAGCTCAGGCATGTGCTCCCTGCTGGAGCCTCTGGGGCCTCCAAACCCTGCCTCTCCCTCCTCCACCCTGCAAAGTTTTGCTCCTTCTCCATGCAGACTTTTCCATTCCCCTGGAGGAGCCCTGATTTCTCACTGCACTGGGATTTCCCAGATGAGGCGTCTGTGCCTCATGTGCAGCCTACCTTTCACCTATCTGGGATGGAGGTCATCTGCATATTCCTGTCTCTTTCCTTCTCTTCTCTGCCACATGGGCCTTTTTCTGGCAGGGACCATGCCGTAGGTACCTCAGTGTCCCTAAGTGTCTTCCTTAGTGGCTGACACATACTTGGTGCTCCATGGAAGTTTCTGGAGTCGTCCTAACTTACGGAATGAGACCTAGCAGGGTAGTTCCTATTTCCAACCTAGGCCCCTCACCCACCCTGCTTCCCTGAGGGTTGCTGGGAGGACCCGCAGCAGCGGCTGGCACCTGCAGCTCCTGGCAGCATTTGCAAAGTCCCTCATGGGTCCTTTCCCACTGGATCCCAGGATGGCGAGTGTGAAATGAGACCAATAAAAGATTGCACAAATTTTGTTGGACTCACACATAGGTTGGAAAGAAACACCCATGTCTGAAGCATGTCGGAGCAGGCCTTCCACCAGGCCCTTTAGAAAAAGGGTTGTGTGTGTCGTGTAGAACAAACCTGGCCGACAGGACAGGCATTAGCATGCCCATTTTACAGATGTGGAAACCGGATCTGAGAGTATATGGGACTTGCTCAAGCTCCCACTGCTACACCAGTGGCACCAGCACGCCGTCCCTGGGGTGGGAGCCAGGGTGTGTAAGGTGACGTTTTCCCTGGTCGTGAGCAGATGGGCTTGTGCCCTACCTGCACGGCCCCGTGTAAAGTCCAGCTGAGATCCACTTCCCTCCCTGGTTTTCTTGCCTGGGCTTTGCCCAGTTCCTTGTCTTCATACACCACAGGATGCCCTCTGAGCAGGCGGGGAGGCCCGTGAGCTTGGCAAACAAGCTGTTTGCTCTGGGAGGTGGGCTGCTTCTGAGGACAGAACAGGATTTCTGGGACTGGTGCGAAGGAAGTCACCCACAGCCTGGCTGCCTGGCTGGGCGGACGGTTGAGGTGGCCAGAGGAACTTACAAGTGGCCCTCTAGTCTCAGGAAAGGCTGCAGGGCTGGAAAGAGAGCAAACTCTGTGATTGAGCTGTGGGAAGGCTGGCCCGAGCCCCAGGGCCTTGCTGATGGCAGGCTGGCTGCCGGGGCACCCCCAGACGGGCCAACGGAGCCAAGCCGACAGCCAGGAGAGAGGCCTGCCCTCCCACACACGTGGGAATGAGGCCTGCTGAGTCACTGCCCAGCTGGACGCAGCTCCCACCGAGGGCTGGATGGAAGGCGGGAGAGCATTCCCAGCCAGGCCAGTGGCCTCAGGACACCCTGAAGTTAGCTGAGCCCTCTAAATGTGCCGTGGTAGCCCGGGCTGCCCCTCGCACTCCTGAGCTGAGGCATATTTGCCTGCAGCCAGCTCCTGGGGAGCTCCGATCAGGCAAACAGCCCTTCAGACAGGATTTGGGGCTAGAGGTCAGATCCCTGAACTTTGGGAAAAAACAACCCCAGGACAAGTCACTTCATCTCCCACATCCTCACCTTTCCTCTCAGTGACATGGTGAGGGCGACAGGGGCTGTGGGGAAGGTCTTCAGGGGTTGCCCTGCATATAATAAGATTCAGGCAGGCTGGTGGCACTGCTCCATGCCTTCCCCTGAGGAAGGGACAGCAGCCTGGTCCCCTCTGCCCCTGGCCTGCCACCGTTCCCTCCTTTGCCAGTGTCATCCCTACCTTGGGCCCTTCAGAGCAACCAGGCCCTTCCCTGGAGGGCCAGGGGGGCAGCTCCTGGGGAGGAACTGGGGTCACCTCCTGACCCGGGCCTGGCTGGGAATCCACCTTTCGCCTCGGGCAGTGGGCAGAGGAGGGTACCGGCCCTGCAGGCGGAGGCTTCTCTCCCCTCCAGCACCAGCAGCGCCCTCTGGGAGGCCCAGGTGTTGTGCAACTTGAGAGGCAGCTAAGCCAGTGGACCACTCTGCTGGGACAAGTATCAACAGGAAGCCTCAGCGTGCATCCAGTTCACATTCCGGGGCACCCAGTCCAGCCCAGAGACACCGTAACTAGACACCACTCTGGCTGGGGTTGCCTGTGACACAAACCAATCTTTTATCTGCCATCTAAGCCTCCCAATTTGCACAGCAGTGACGTACCTTCCACCGCAGGGAGATTTCCAAGCCTTCTAGTGAGGCTGTGCCTCCTAAGCTCTGAGCAAACAGGGAGTGGGTGATTCTGTAGACACAGGAAGGCTTTATTTATGATTTTCAGGCATGAGACCTTCAAGGGAGGGTCCCATCTGTAGGAAGCAGGGCCCCAGCAGAGGACCGGACACCCAGTGGGTGCTCAGGGAGCATTCAGGGACAGCTCACTGAGCAAGCCACATCTCCGGGGATTAAAGAAAAGAAAGTGAAGCAGAATCTGGTTAAATGGGCCCCACATGTGCCCAGAGAAATCTCCCCCCCATCACATAGACACAGGCCCTCGCCCTCCATGCACACATCACTGAGTTATTTCTCACGCTTGGAGCAGGGTACCATGGCGATACAGAACTCAAGCCTTTTACCTTTCAGGCCCAGAATGGGAAAGGAACTCACTCAAAGCCACCCAGCAGATTAGTGACAGCACTTTTGATGGTTAGTATTTTTTATTTTCCCATGGCCTACCATTTCATTCCACAATTGTCCTCCTTCTCCAGCCCTCTCCCAGCCAAGTCCCTGCATCTGCTGCTCCTGCCGCCAGTTCCCAATGCTGCATTTCAAATGCTTAGGGAAAGGGGATTGCTGGCAGAGGGAAGGGCACGTGCAAGCTCCCCGAGGCAGCAGGGAGCAAGTGAGGCGAGCACCCACCCGGGCTAGCAGGACTCAGAGGAGCGGGGGCAGTGGGGGTGGGTGGGAGTCGGAATAAGATCCAACTTCATGAAGTTTGTTTCTGGATGTGGAGCTAGCAGCTCATAGGGCCATCTTGCAGTCTTCAGGCAGGTAAGACTCCCTGCTTGTGATGAAGGGAGCCTCTGCAGTCCTGAGGCACGGAGGATCTGGGCATGAGCTTGCGGGGATGTGGG